AGCTGGAACTACAGGCGCACGCTACCACGCCTAGCTAATTTTTTGATTTATTGTAGAGATGAGGGCTCACCAAGTTGCCCAGGCAGGTCTTGAACCTGCGGGCGCAGGCAATCCATTCACTTCAGCCTCCCAAGGCGCGGGATTACAGGCTGAGCCACCGAGCCCGGCTTGTGATTTGTTAATGTGCACTAGGAATCTCTAAGAAGGGCTAGAAAATACCATTTTTCTCAAACTGATTTTATAATAGGATCCTTACTTCCTGCAACACCCCTCAGACTAGGATTCTAGGGGAGTGGTTTCCAAACTATTTTGATTCCCCAATAAACACTATAGTTATTTATTCATAAAGTTACATACATTTGAATCAGTCCCTGGTTCAGCAGTTCCTAAAGTGCTTTCCCTAGTCCATCACTTAAGCAGTGTGGAAAGAATGTATTTAAAGTAAAAGAAATTTCTATTTATGTTTTTGTTATCTCATCCTTTTTACATACACTTTATAATATGTACAACATGAGAGGCTCTGACATCCCTTAAGGCAGCTGCACAGACTACTCTTGTCATTGCCCTTTCTTTACCTTCTGAAGGGGTCTTGTTTTTCGAGGTAGCACTGGAGGGGTGACGTGATGAGGGGCGCCAAGGGATGACACAGACCTACAGCCGTTGAATTCATTTTCTTCCACTGTTCCAGAAATCTGGGCATTTTCCAAGAGGGGATTGTGTGCTGGTGACTTGGAGAGGTCGGAACTCCTCCCCACTGGCTCAGTAGAGGGTATGTCTAAGGACTCACACTGTTCTGGCCTGCATTGGAGGCAGGGGTCAGAAGGGTCAGCCTGGCAACAGCCCCAGGGGCCAGCCTCGCTCTTCTCAGGCTCAGAATTTCTCCAGCAATCTGCTGCCATGGCTGTGGAGATGAGGTCAGGGCTCGAGCCGGGCATCTGCCTGTGAGCGTGGTTGCTGAGTGGGCTCCGTAGGGCAGCTGCTGGGCCAAAATACCTCAGGTTGTTGGCGCAGGTTGCAATGTCCTGTCCGTGCACATTGAGTCTGGGATGGTGACTCTGAGACATGGCAGGAGGGGGTTGCTGGTATTGCTGCTGCAAAGAGTTATGGTGATGGAGAGAAGGGTATTGGGACTGAGCTTGGTGTAGGTAAGTGGGTTGGGGTGCATTTTCCTGGGCTGGCTGGTTTTTCAAGATTGCTGCAAAGTCACTATGGCTGCCTCTGCTATTCCCTCGGCGGTGGCGTGGTTTGCTGCGATAGCGGCCCTTGCTACTTGAGGTGGACATTTTGGGACTTCCAGACAGAGGGGATGCAGTGGGAGCCACTTCCATACTGGGGATACCTTCAGACCTCAACAGATCTGGCCTAGGAGAAAAGAACACATGAAAACACATTTGAGTTTGGGAAAATGTATCAGAAGCCTTAAAATACATACACCCTTTGAATCAGCAGTCATGTAAATGGGGATTTATCTGATGAAGATAACATAGGAGGAGTCTTGGAAAGATTCATGGAAAATGCAAATTATGAAAAAACTATGCATGGATTTCAGATTTTTTTTGCACCAAAATAAACCTGTATGAACTTGTTATACATGTCTGAACAGGATTTAGTTTGAGGCATTAGGAAGGATGAGACATCCATTTGAAAAGAGTCCCTAGCGCAGCAACGTGCATTCTGCTAAAACTGAAGCAAGAACAAACATCAAAATTATTGTGACATTTGAGTGGAAGAATGTTGAAATTCATTGATGCTTCACAAAATGTTTATAGGGATAATGCTGCAGAGAATCAGCAATTTGCAAATGGATAACTCACTCTAAGAAAGGGTGAGACAGTGTTGAAGATGAAGCCCACAGTGGCACACCATCCATATGTGAAGAAAAAAAATTAAACTTATTCGTGCCCCAACTGGGAGAACCAACAATTAGCAGCAAAAACGATAACCAATACCACAGACACCTCAGTTGCTTCAGCTTACACAGTTTTGACTAAAAAATTAAAGATGAGTAAACTTTCCTCTTAATGGATAACCAAAACTGTTATGCCCAGATCCTGCTGTAGATAAGAGCAGAGCACTCAATGGAAATTTTGAACAAGTGGGATCAAGATCCTGAAGCATTTCTTTGAAGAATTGTAACAGGAGATGAAACATGGCTTTACCAGCACAATTCTGCAGAAGACAAAGCACAATCAAAGCAATGGCTACCAAGACGTGGAAGTGGTCCAGTCCAAGCAAAGGCAGACCAGACAAGGGCAAATGCCATGACAACAGTGTTTTGAGATGCTAAGACATTTTGCTTGCTGACTTTCTGAATCAAAGAAGAGAACATTTGCTTATTATGAGAGTGTGTTTGAGAATATTAACCAAAGCTTTAGCTGAAAAATACCCAGGAAAGCTTCATCAGAAGGTCCTTTTCCACCATAACAACGCTCCTGCTCATTACTCTCATCAAACAAGAGCAATTTTGCAACAAGTCTGATGAGAAATCATTAAGCATCCACCTTACAGTCCTGATTTGGCTCCTCTGACTTCTTTTTTTTTTTTCTTAATCTTAAAAAATCTGTAAAGGGCACCCATTTTTCTTCAGTTAACAATGTAAAAAAGACTGCATTGACATGGTTAAATCCCCAGGATTCTCAGTTCTTTAGGGTTGGACTAAATGGTTGGTATCATTACTTATAAAAATGTCTTGATCTTGATAGAACTTATGCTGAGAAATAAAGTTTATACACACACACATATATGTATATACATTTAAAAAAATTTTTGTTTTTATTTATTTATAATTTTTTTTTTTCCTGGCTGCCTGGAGTTTATTTTCCACTTGGTGCAGGGAGACAGTTACATTATCAGGAAAGCTCCGATGTGCTGGGCAGTGAAAAGCAGTGCTCTCACTTCTTTTGGTGTTTGCTGTGTTGATAGAAAATAACCCAACTGCTTGTCTGCCTGCTGCAGCCACCTAGTTTGCCCGGAGGGATGGGAGGAGAAAGGAGAGGGGAAAGGGGAGGGGTGGGGAGGGAGGGCTCTGACAGCCTAGCGCCTCAAGGCCTGGGGCTGGTGGTGGTTGCTCAGGATGGGGGCCCAGCGTTGGCTTTACTGGACTGGCCACCAGGCTCTTTCCTTGTCGCTTCCCGAGCCAAGCCACGGGTAGTCATCCCGCTGGAGGCCTGGGGGGGTTCCGTGTGCTCCGTGGACTCCAGCACCGTGGCCATGAATGGGAGAGTGGACTTCCCGAAAAAGGAGCTCGCCCACCAGTGACCCGGGTCAGCCTTGGGAAGACCCGGGGGGTGCGGTATGGCTTCCGCGGGGCACTCGGCACTTCCGCAGGAGCTGTTGCTGGAAGTAGAACCCAGGCGGCGCGGGCAGTAGTCGTGAGTAGCCATGAGCGAGCCGCTGGAGGGGATGGCTGCCATGCTCTTGCTTGTGGGCTGGTGGAAACCTCGGCGACGCCCCCCCGCGGGCCTCGGCGCGCGATTACGGGTGGCGAGGAGCGGACGCTAGGCCACGGGGCCCATCTGCAGAGGAGACCGACGGAGGCCGTGCCACCACTGAGAGCACGCGCACCACGATTTAGAATTTTTTTTAAAGACAGGGCTTTGCTATGTTGCCCAGGCTGGATTTGACCTCCTGTGCTTAACCAATCCTCCTGCCTCAGTCTCCTGAGTAGCTAGGACTATAGGTGCACACCACTGCATCTAGTATTTTTTTTTTTTTTT